TGCATGGACTTTATATAGGATATGAGTGTGTGTTTTAGTAACATTTATTAACAAGCATAAAGATTCATTTTATTATAGAAGTATTTCTTTAATGCATATATTAAATTTGGGTAGATGAGAAGCACACATAAAGGTGGTTCTCATGAACATATGAACATTAAACAAAGATTGCACAATAAATTTTTGTTGTTAACTTAGGTACTTCAAGATTGTTCCTTCAAGATAATAATAATAATAATAATAATAATAATAATAATAATAATAATAATAATAATAATAATAATAATAATAATAATAATAATAATAATAATAATAATAATAATAATAATAATAATAATAATAATATATTGAAGATCGCTAACATATATGCATGTATCTTGAGAGCAAATAAATATTATTGATATTGTGGGACTTTGATGTGGTGGATGCTTTGGAGAAAATTGTTAAAGAATCCAGCACACCTACTGTGACTAAATTCAGCAAGGACCCAAGGAATATATATAGATGGCTTCATTATATTGATGTTGTTATCTTTTGGTTTCTATAAGTATGTAGTAACTTGCTACATTAGTATACTATTTCCTACCACTTTATTAATTTGCATCTTTCCATGTTTTAATTCATATTAAGATTGTCCGTTAGTTGTTTCAAGGAAATTGTGTGGTCGATTTGAGTATCAAGAAATAGGAATTACTAAGGTAGTTTTATTAAGTAGAGGCATAAAATAAAAAATTATACGGAACTCTTAAATGGCATGTTTTATTGACATGTATTAGATTATCATTGTTTACAGTACATAATTTAGTCTAAAAAGGGAGAATCGATATGATGACCACCATTAGAATATAATGGATCAATTGCTTAAGCATTATCACAATGTCTATCCACCTAACAATCTTAAAGTGAAACTTCAATATCAAGGGGAGCATTGATTTCTAGACAATTACATGATTTATATGGGGATTGAGGTGTTGGAGGATTTTCTTTCGTTACCGCTTGGTAACTCTGATATAATTTTAGGCATTCAATGGTTGGAGAAGTTGGGGACAATAACAACAAATCGGAAGACGCAAACGTTGAAGTTTATTGTTGGAGGAAAATCAGTGACTCTTAAAATTAAAGGGACCCTTCTTTGGGGAGGACACATATTTCCTTGAGGGCTATGTTGAGAAGTGGATCTCAGTGACTTTGAACTACAGTTTTGAGTTGGTTATGGTCAGTTTTCATTAATGTAGGGTCCTTCGGCTTGAAATCTTTTTAGTTTTTTGCAATGTGCAATGTAAAATACTGTCGAATCCTGCTAGCGTAGGGCCCGTTGTTTGACAGATCTATAAATCTCATTGGCCAATTAGCTGTTAGCCAAAGTACTTAGCTGACAGTTAGATCACTCGAAGTATTATCAGTGTTTATCCTTTATTCCTTTGTGCCAGTGCATGAGAATCCTCTTTTAAGATTTCTAGGACATTATTTTTTTGGACAATGTTGGTAGATTTTTATGCTATGATTCAGAACCACTTGTATTATGTGATGAGATGTGGCAATCTGATTGATTTTTGGTGTTCGGGTTATTTTGTTTGGTGTGTTTGTCAAAGTAGGTGAAGATAGATAGTGGCCTTTTTGTTGTTTTTTTGTTCAATGTAAAGAGGGCTACAAAAGGCAAATGGTATAGACGGGATTGGATCTGTTTGTTTGATTGTGATATAGGTAGTGAACAACAGGTAGAGGTTCGTACAGAAGGATCCTAGTACTTAGTTTAATTGCAATTTGTTAGTCTTGAAACACAATTCTCATGCTTTACTTAGAATCCTTAAATGAGCAGAAGCTAGAATTACTTTTAGTTGGTTGAGCTATGCCATTCTTTTGTGGTTCATATGGCTATTTGTTTCTGCTGTCACCACCTCTTTAACTGAAGTAAATGACTTAAAATCTTATGGATCTTGGTGAGAATTTGGGTTCTCTTGTGCCCAAGATTGTGACCTGTGAGAAAAGGATGAAAGCGAGGATGAGCAACCTCAGCTCCTCCGCTCCACACAAAAGAGGATCCTTGCCAAGTTGATGATATGGCATACAGAATGTGATAACATAATGAGATAGATAATTTGTACTCTCTGTAGGTCTTTTTCATAGATAATCAAATTTGCCTAATAGTATTAAAAGCGCGATGTTGCCCTTCTCTCCTTTTTTTCTTCCTCTTGTGGAGGATGATACAATGTAGTACGTATGCATCTCGGCAAGGAAGTGAATCTATGGGTTGAGAGTATTTCCATTGCAAGTTGTTTGCTGTGGACATAAGTGATTATCTATGCCTTTGTGCACGGAACTGATAGGCAGTCGCTATTAGCTTATTATTAGGACCAATTTTGGGTTAAAATTCCTTCCTCGTGTGGAAACTACACATGTTTCTCTGTACTTTTCCGATCTATCTTGATTCTTGGCATCATTTCATCATATGCTATGAACAAGATGCCATTTTATGTAAGAGCTTTCCCCTGGACCCGTAAATTGTCAATGATATACAACTCCTTTCGCCACTGGGTAGTTTCGGTACGTAGGAAATGTCTGTTTCCCCTTCTTTCCAATTATTGAGAACTGAGAATAATACGTCACATCCGACTTTAAAAATTCTATATTCTTAAATTGATTGAGAACATAATTATAATGTAAACGTGGCTTAGAATAAAAGGTTTGGCATTGTTACACTTTGCATTATATTGACCCCTACCCTCATACACACACACACGTATAGAGGCACAAAGTCGATCAATTATTTATGCACCTCTTAAAGTCGAGGAAGCAAGAAAGCCTGGTTCTCATCGAATATTCCAATCAGACATGCGCTATGCATTATCAAGCTTTCGTATGTTGGTTGCTCCAATCCACCAAAAGAAAGAGGGAGCCCCAGTTTCTCATTATGAGAAACACTTTTGTTTCTCATAATGACATTTTGAAAAATAATGGGTAGCGCTTGGCAAGTGATAAAGGGGATCATCCAACATCACATCGGATTGGACTAGCTTGGTTTTTACGATACAAGAATGTTGTTAAAAAGGAAGGTGATTAAGAGAGGCCGCAGTCAAATGGACAGTAGATATGCACTTGGTTGAGGAATTCACGTCTAATGTTTTGTACTGTAATGAAAGTTGATAAAGAAAAAAATGCACTTATTTGCTTTAACAGCTCAACTTTCCTATTGACAAGCCAACAATGGTGCTCAGGGGTTGGCCGACAAGTTTGTAAAGCAAGCTGCGAACATAGTTACACACTTAGAAATTTACAATCTTATACAAGTATTTCGGAGGAAATAATTATAATCCTGAATATTAAATGTTTTCTTTTCGTAATTATCAACTTTGATAAATATCACATACTACGTCAAAGTCTTTTTTTTTTTTTTTTTTTGATCATACACACATTATAGTACAGGAAATTAGCACCATAACTAGATAATGAAATAATCTACTACTACTGCTAAATCATCGAGAAACGAATCTTAAGACTAGTTGATGCGCATTTTGCTCTTCTAACTTGATTTGTACCTATCTTAAACTTACCTGAACCTATGTGAATCTTTTAGAATTTATTTTAGTTGTAAAATAAACTTAATTAACCCTTATTAAACTTATTTTTTATGAAATAAGTGGAAAGAAGCTGAATAGAATATCACCTACTTTTAATTAGTCGCAAATATTATTGTTTGCGCTTTTACATGACTATTCTTTTACCATATTCGGTAGTTTTTCAAATTTAATGGTAGTCTCTTTTTACCAAAGAAGTTCCAACACGAAGGAATCAAATTGTCCCCATAAAGTAGATATTTATATGGGGATCGTCCATCTAATGCAGGAACTGATAAAGCTTAATTGGCACAACTTTGTTTGTAGGCCAATAAGGGCATCTCTTCCATGTTCATTTTCAACACCCAATTCAACATAATATGGATGAAAATCCAGCTTTGCACTACTTCTCCTATGATCAGCTTACTGTTTATCGGAGCTAAAAAATTTCAAGATCTATCGAGTTATGATCAAACTCAGGAAATCGTGGAATCAACACTTTGAGTTAGATATATGTCATGAATAAAAGTGTTAAGTCATTAGCTGATATATACTTTGTATACAAATAGTGCAATTTTACATAAAATTCTTATTCCCACATACGAAGTAATAAAGCACGTTACTTTTCATGATCAACCAAACTAGTTCAATTACAAAAAATAGAACTACTCGAGAAAAAGTACAAGCTTAAACTCGTGTTACTCGAAATCCCACTTTGGGAGTTTGGGGAAACTGGGAAGAGTAACAAGCAATAATTTCCAAAGGGGATAAAGGCAAGTACAAGTGGTCTTAATGCGTCACATGCAGGTGGCCACTTTGTTCATATGAGATCTTCCAAACAAACCCTACATTCAACTCCCACAAAGATAGTCTTGTTCTTGTAAAAGGACAATACCATAAATAGTAAGATAGCACTAAGATCAACTTTTCCCAATAATATTATCATCTAGGGACAACTTATTCCACAAAACATCAAAATAATTTTAGTTAATTTTTTATTCATTATTTTTTTTGGGAACATCACAATAATTTTTTTACTATTAATGATGTAACTCAATAACCCAACTTTAATCCACTTTATAATTTCCTTCATTTAAGCCAAACACCTACAAAAAATTTATTAAAAAGACTTAAACTTTTTTTTGGGTGGTATCCATCTCATTGGACATGACATGAGATGATGGAAAGATCATATCATTAAGACATAAAAGCTTATTATGATACTCGTTAGTAGTTAACAGGATATCCTGCTAATTAAAGAAAAGTATAATCCATACGATAATGGCAAATGCTATGTCCACCCAAAACAAAAGGATCTAGGGACTTAAATAGTACACCTCTACCTTAATTATTGACACCTTGAATAATTTTTTTTTTTTTTTTTATTTTTTTTTTACATTTTTTATTTTTTTACAACTAGACTAATTAATCTATGAAACCTAGAATAATTGATTATGAGGGCCTTTTTTCGGTTCAGGTAAAGGTTGATAATTTGAGCATTTCTTTATGTCCTTTGTAATTATATATGACTACACTATTATTATTTTTGACAATTTTACCCCTCCTCTCTCAGCCCTAAGCGACAAATTGACCACCGCCAGCCATCCAGCCACTACATACACTGATACACCCAACAAAACCATCCGATACTTCCACCACATCCTTCACTAATTACCAACCACTCCCACGAACAAGTTCCAAGTACTATAGGATGCGAAGGTTCCAAAAATAAGGGACTAATACGAGGATTAAACCCCTAATCTTATCCTCATAGATGTAAAGAGGTAAAAGAGCTTACCGCTCTTCCAGCCCCTCATCCTCGCAAAATTTATCATCATCAAACTACTGTACGTGCAACATAAATACCTACTCTGCTCCAATCCACTTAGCAGCTATGGCCTTTTAGGCTTTCAGCCAGTGAAAGAGTTGCCCAGAGTTAAGTTCCAAGTACTGGTACCAAAAGACAGTACAAAACATTTACAGCAGTACAAGAAGAGATCTATAGTACTAGGTAAAGCTAAGTACAGTAGTAAGTAGAGCACAAACTTAGTGGATTTACTAACAGACAGCAGGCAATTGAGTCCAATAGTAAGAAACATGAAGTTGTCAGTTGATAAAGTAGTTTGTAGGATAGTCAACTAGTGTTCCTTTTGGCCTACCTTTGAAGTGTAGAGTGCCACTTAAAGTTGGTATGATTTGATATGATCCAAGAAAGATACGTTAAGGTGGGAATCCTAAGCTCGACATTAGCAACTGTTTCACTGACCTGAGTATTGTCTTCTGTCCTACCAAAACATCACTATATGGGCCAATCTTACTTCAGATAATATTTCTAATCTTCCCTCTCACTTTCGCTAGTGTTATTCCTCCTAACTCTTTCTCTCACTCTAGCTCGCTCGCTTCTAGAACAACTCTTCTGTTTAATACTCAGCAAAACAACCATCAGCAAAAAAATTTGATCCTCAGGGTTGTAGGATAGATATGATAGTTCAGAGTGATTTAGCGACAGGGTTAACATCTAACCAAGAACAAGCTGTCCAAAAAACATATTTGGACATGGAGGAGAACGGTCAAGGGTGGTTAGATCTGGGTTTGACAACAAAGCCGGCTTCTATAGCTGACGAACTGAGTTCTTCAAGACCGGTTCCTGCTAAAATTTTCTCATGTAACTTCTGCATGAGGAAGTTTTTTAGTTCCCAGGCTCTTGGAGGTCACCAAAATGCACACAAGAGGGAAAGGGGTGCAGCAAGAAGATTTCAATCTAAAAGGATGATGTCGATGATGGAGTTACCTGTCAACTCACTGATGCAACGATCACTAGGTGTGCATCCCCATTCACTGGTATACAAACCACTAAGAGAAGATTATCCATTTGCTGGAAGATTTAAACACTCAGATATAGGAATTGCCACTCCTTGGAACCAGTTCATAGCTGACAGCACAACAGATGTCCTGTGGCCTGGGAGTTATCGCGTGAATTTGCAACCAGTTGAACAGCAACCAGAGGAATCGAAGCTTGATTTGAATCTCCGGCTCTGAATGACTTTCAAGCAATCTTCCTTAGCTTCACAACCCAGGCTTTTTATCAAGCATCAAGAACACGACTTTATGTGAACCAAGCCTCTGCAAATTCCTAGTCCAGGTCTACGACTTCCCAGAGTAAGATTCAGAGTGGTCCTACCTCTAAATACTCACAAGTGTTAACTGTACAAGCTTCCACTTGAATATAAACAACGTGATGCCCAATAATGCTAAATTTGCTGAAGTACTGTAATTTACATAATCAAATAATGTATATGAAATTTATGCATATAAAAAAGCCAGTTATCTTTAAGTTTTCTTCTTTACTTGTTCATCCTCAACATGATCATCTACATGGTTAGTCATATCTGAAATGATCAAAGGACAACTTTCAGGAAGAACACAAGTCTAGTTCTGGACTTCCCAGTGGTTCTCAGTAATAACTGTTTCAAACTTTCAACAGAGAAACACCTCGACTGTAATTCAACTTAACTAAATAAAAATAACCATCAAAGTAGTTTTCAGGCTAAACAGCTTTGTTTAGGTGTTTCAGAAGTAGTCCTTTAGCTGGTGCGGACCAATCAAATGTATGGCTGCAGTATGTGAATAGTTAGACCTCCACCCCCAAACCGTCTACAGACAGGCCAATCGGGATCCTTCCAAAATTATTGTGATTTTTTGTTATCGTGTGTATCCAGCCAATATATTGAATAGATGCAACCAGACTAATTGAAAAGCCACGATAGTCAAACACACTTACACACAGTTCACATCAAAAGTCATCTAGTTAAACTAGAGGATGTAGTTGTCGGAATCATCACATCAAGAACTAAAACCACAAAAGTCTCACAAAGAGGGGGGGATTACAGGTCGGAGAAAAGGCTTCTTTTTTTGAAAAAAATCTAACCTCAGAAAGGACAACTGCTTAAATACCGATAATTTTCATGTGTTTGAGAAGATAATGCAAACTGCAAAGCGTGAAAGAAATTGATGAAAGTTATAGCCGATAATTGACCAACAATATCTCGCATGGTCGAGGACATTATACATGCCAAGCCTTGACGACTTGTTTGAAAAAAAGACGCATGAAAAAGTAAATAATGACCACGGAAAAAACTACTGAATGTCATAACTCTTTGCAGATGGAGGGGGTTGAAAACCAGGAAACGCACTCAGCAGAGTCAGGCACACAAATGACAAGGTTACATAAATCACTCAAGCTCAGATTCTTCCACAAGGAAAAGATAGGCTGCCACAGAGTGATTGCAATGTTAGTGTCACTTTAGGTAGTGTAATGTCGACAAAAAGCTTGCAATGGCAATGTACCCAACAGCTAGGTCTTGTTGCTGGTGTTAAAAAACTCAGATATTCGGCTCAGCCTTAAATGAAATCAGAATTAGATTATACAGATATAAGATATAATGATAATGATATTGGGCACTTTGATTTTGAATTTGACAAATTGACTACAGAACTAGTTTGTATACCAAGGTGGATTATTGCATATTTTCAAGAAAATATAACCTAAATATATTCCTTGAAAAAAGTTTATTTTATAATGGTAAGCTTAGGCCCCCACCTATGTCACTCAGAGTCTTGTTTCAAAAAAAAAATGTTACTCAGAGTCTTACATTTAAATCTATGTCGGATCCTCAGTATTCCGAAATAGATACACTTAAAACACTTCATTTGGGACATAATCATGATTTTTTTTTCCCACAAAATAGTCAAGTTTTACATTGGACGGGTACTCTGTTTCTGACATGAGTACTCAAAGCCGAGTAGCATAGGTCAATATGAGATCCCCACTTAAGTCTATATACCAGGTGAGGGATGGGATCATAGCTTACAACTCCTTTGATCACCATCCCCTAGTGGCGAGAATCAAACCCATGATGTAGAGTTGTGAAACGCGGTGAAATCCATTGCTCCCTCAAACAATTTTAGTTCCCAACATAATCAATACAGAGGTGGAAGTGGAACCTTAGTGGTATTTGTTGAAGGCAGCCTAAAATACCAACAAAGCATTGCCACTTTGACAGCTTCTGTTTGTTTTTGCAAATTTAAAGGCTGCTTCTGGTATCAATTCCGAAGTCATTTTATAGTACATGGGCATTATAAATGCACCTTTGACGCCTTCACATGGTTTATTATAACCGTGCTTACCAAGCAGACAACCTTTCACGCCTCCACATTAATGAACTCTAATGCAAAATAAACATATATTTTACATGCAGAAAGGAATTCTCATTCAGAATAACATCATTATGTTAGATGGGTATTAAAAAACAATTTCATTCCATTTCAGATTCAGTCAGTATATCAGTGTTATGAATAGCCGCTGACAAATAAATGTTAACAGCCTTACAGGTTGGTGGTCTTGGTATTGAATATAAGCTTTTGTGTTTTATGCTTGATGATAGGGAGCCTCTCGCTGATGATGCTTGGATCATTATATGAAGCAACATCAACTGGATACCCTTTCTGCAAGATTAAGATCGGAAATTAATACGAGAGCAAAACAGTTGCAGAAATCCATTTACAGCAGTAAATAGACAGCTAAGGGCAAACACAGATACTTACTGCAGCCAAGGCACTGAATGTACACTCTCTCCAGCAGCTTTCCCGAAGAACCACAGGGAATGAGTTTTCTCCAAAAACACAGTGCAGACGAGTGTCCCGAAGTCTCATAAGCACTCCATCAACTCTTAGCTATATGGAATTTAAACTATGTTTAGACAAGTATTAGACAGATGAAACAACAGATGAGTGTAGATCAGTATGCTCTCTATATACAATATTTTGCATCAGCACAACTAAGCATGGGTTAAAAGACTCAAACAATTGTCCTATAACTAATATCCCCACTTATTTGCTGTGAATTAACAAGTCAGTTAATTGATCTCTCGGTCAAAAATCTAACAGAACTATTCTTCCCTCAGTTGCATGGGTAAGAAGCACTCTTCTCCTCCTCTGTACCTTGCCTTAGGCAAAAGTGTTATTAGATATGGACTTTATGAAAGAAGATAAATAGATAAGGAAAGGAAGATTTATATTTCAGTACTCACCCAAAATCTTAAGAGAACGAACCAACCACTTGGCATAACTCTCTGCAAAAATAAATGTATTCACTCAGACCTCTATGTGATCAAGGAACATACAACAATTTCATTAATCAAAACATTAAAAATGTCAGAATTACCACTTTAGCAGTCAAAAGTGACACTCCATTGTCAGCTAATTCATCTTCATACAAAACCACCTGCCCCAATTGAAGAGAAGCATTAAAATAGAGGATAATACTTGTTAATACGAGTACATAATTCATAGCTACAGAGAAGTGCTGAAGGATTCAAAAGTTGAAAGAGATTTTGAAGAAACTCAAAACAGATCATCTAGTTTAACTTTCTAAAGAGAGATCTTAAAATTGTGGAGACAACTGTGTGTTTAAGTATAGATCCTTGTCAGCAACCAAAGAATAAGAGCTCTAATCCTAGTCAACAAGTCATAGAGCTCTCGATGTAAAACAACATATAGTGCATAGAAAGGAGAAAGTATGTAGCAATGCATTAATGAATCAAATTAGAACAGAAAGGAAGGAAATTGAATAACCAAAAAAACCAATGGCATTTGGTGCACCAACGAAAAACGAGGTACACTGAAAACTTGTTAGAAATTACATGAGAGAAATGTCATAGGCCTTTATAACAAGAAGATAGTTATAGTTTTCCGTCATATCAGCAAGTAGCTGTTATAAAAGATAAAGGCGGAGTTTATAGACGCTTTATCACTTGCAGACCTAGACCCCATAATGCACCTTTTTTTAAGAGTGATTACATCGAGACAGGTACAGAAAGTCTCAGTTGAACTATTCAAGACAGACAGACAGATTCAATATCCCTCTATTGGCAGTTTATAGTTGCTTTATCAATACTAACCTCATCATAAAACAGAATAGGTTCTTTCGAAGCCAGAGCTACCATATCAATCTTCTCCTCACAGTCTTCCCAACAAACACTGGAACCACCATCTAAAATGTCCCCTCCAGCCTGATTTGCATAACATTCAAACAAGTTTTTTTAAATCTTAAATAAATGAGAAACAAATTTCAGTCTGAAAATCACACCATAAGAAATACGCATGGAGTAGAATATGCACCAGAAATATGGGCAGTTAAAATTTGAAGTATATAAAGCGAATCTTTAGGGAACCACACCTTTTCACTATTTGTGTCAACCTTTTCACTTCCACAATAAGGAGTTGTGAATGTGTAGTCATAGTCCAATATCACCTGTTGAAATGGTTGGCTGCAAGCATACGAGAAATTCCATGCAACTGGATTAGACTGCACTTTAACATTTGGCAATATGAAGCCAATCAAATGTACTTTATGCAAGAAAAGTCATTACAAACAAAACAGAATCAGGCTCAGGTTGCCCACGAAATTAGATCCTGTAAAACAAATCCAAAGTTACAAGGAAATTATATTTGATTAGACAATCCAGAGCATACACATTAAGCCAGCAGCCCAGCACTAGACAGTAAATAATTACAGTATATATTTATATACACAACTTCCAGCTATACTACAAAAGGTTACTTTCACCTAGCTCAAAATAAATTACACCATTTGTTTATAAAGCCTGCCAATATCACTCATCATATATGAGCAACTTTAAGAAGAAAATCATTTCATATTCACACTTTGGAGTACAGACCAATTCCATTACATAACACCTTTTCCTTTTTCTTTTTGGGTAAAGTAACAGGGATGGGAGGGGTGAAATCCGATGAAACAGTTGATAGGCATGGAGAGGAAATCATTCACAAGCAATTTGATGACATTAAATATGTCTACATACTTCCTTCAACCACTAACATTTTCCTTTCGGCCACAAGCAAATTGGCAGAGTAATTTAACAACAAAAGTTGTGTTTTGTCATTGGCTTCAAGTGACTTGAATTGAGCAAGCTACTATTTTACTATTTCAAGAAACAGAGAAGATAATTGTTCACTCTGACTTTCAATCAGAATTATTTACAGGTTACAAATCCAGAGGCCATGTAGAGTACTCTCATGAGTCATGAGCATGTTTGTGTTTGGTGTAGTTTAACAAAGAAACTGGAATTTTTATTTTTTTTTTATTTTTTTAATTCCAATTCTGAAGTCGCCTTTAAGCCATTCGTAACCTGTTCAAGATGTGTAGAGGAAAAGGACTTCAACAACCAAACAAAAAAAACAAAACCCTCATCATATACAGGTCCATATACAAGCTAAAGGATGGAATTTGGAGCAGAAAGATCTTTGGTTATTATACCAACTTGTTAGCTTTGTGATTTGAGAGGATTCAAAAAAATAAGAAATGTTAAAATTTTCACAAGCTTACTTTTGTGTTCACACAACCAGGGCATTTCAGATACATTCTATTTTGGGTCTTAGAGCACAATGGACAGGTTATTTCACACAGATAGTTTTGGAGGAAGACATGTGGTTTAGAGTTGTAATCTGCTTCTTGATTTAGTTACATATAACATTCTTATTATAAGAAGTGAAATATATGACAGGGGCAAAGTGCAAAAGCAACAGACCAATGGCAACCGCAAGTCCTGAATACAAGACAGCCCAGTGACAGCAGGAATACAGAAGAGGATACTCAAGTAGAAGCAACACGATGATCATAATTATTTTCCTTAACCAGAATATAGGGGGAAAAAAAAAATCCAAACAATTCAAAAGATGCCCAGATATACTCAGCAGTCAGCACCTATTCAAAAGTTGGGTTGAGGTGTGCTATGATTGCTCATCATTTACTGGGCATGTTAAATTGAACTGTTATGTCTGTTAGGCATTTAAAGATACATGAGATCTCAATTTTAATAATTCAGCTAACCTTCTGAATTTCCATTTTGCTGCAGCAGGAACTTCTACTGGTGGTAAGGCTTCTTGCTTCCAGCCGATTAAAGCATCAAATGCGTTGAAATGAATTTTAGTGCCACTAGCTAAATGCTTAAGAATTAAAGAACTGTTTCCAAATATCATCTCAGGAAAGTGAGTTGTCTTTAGTTTTTCTTCCCAACTGCAATTACAAAATATAATACCACCAGAACAAAGTTAAAATAGGGCAAGGAAACAAAATTCATATAGTGCTAAGGTAGTACGAAGTAATTAAGATCTGAAGAAAGGATTAGTTGCAAGTTGAGTACACACACATGCTGACATGCATAGAAAAAGGTTAAGGGACTGGCACACCAGATTATTGAGAATATTTTCTGACATTAACTCTCCAACTAACACGACTCCCATGTCTGACAGTGGATCCAAAATCTCAAACAGATACTTGTATATTTATTGGTATGATCTCTCAAAATACTTAAAATGCTAATTAAAATACTTTAAGAAACTTTCTAAATATGTGTCATATACTTCAAACGAGTCTGACATTGCTGAAAGGTCAGAGAGACGGTTAATTTTTCTTTCAACAATTCTGTTAAATTGCAAATCTTCCAAAGAAACAATTCACACTTTTAAACCAGCACCACAGGTAGGAGGATAAGCATGACTAATGACTTAAACATCTTCCTCCCTCACAAGAATCCCAACAGTATATATTTAAACAGAAATCTGCAGCATGTAGCAACGAAAGAAAAGAGCCTTTTCCTTTTTCCTTTTCTGGATGAAAAATACATAAGAATGCTAAGGATTCAAGACTACTGCATTCCCAACTATAAACATCATGTGAAACTGCATATGGTATGACCAATCATCAAAAGTTGGTCAAAACCGTACACAAGTTTGAGAGATCAACAAACAAAAAGCTGGTGCTGAGCTCGTCAAAATAGGGGCTCCTACTATTTCAAACTAATTAAAATAACTCTAGTTTGTCACAAAAAAAGTTGTTTAAATTGCTAACAAAAAAAAAAAAAAAAAAAAAAAAAACCTGAATTAAGGAGCAAAGTGTTTCCCTGAACTACCAGCACAATTCATGTTTTAGTGAATATATAGAACCCAACTGAGTGACAGAAAATCTTAGAAGAACCTATATGGACAGACCAGATACAAAAATTATGCGCCGTGATATTTTCTTTTAGATTTTCCAAGCATGTCACAATGAAGAAAAGCTCCAGTAAAAATCCACACTAAATACAACTCCTTAGTAATGTAAATGATGCAGCCTAAATAATACTTGCACTTCTTAGAATATGGTAGAGTGACTAGAAGTGGAAGATAAGTAAGTCGTCAAAGTTTGAGTAATGATCACCAAGATCATACATGACGTTACTTCGCACATACATGTCAGCCCGAAAATTTCAAATTCGCAACAAAAAATCAAAATACTTCTCGTAGTTCATAAATTTATTACAACTAGATACCTAGGTTACTCGGATTCAGGTAAGTTTTTAAGTTTCCAAAAATTTCCAATGCCGAGGATCCGACAAGAGAACTCGAGGTGAAATGAAGAGTCCAAGTTACATAAATAACCCAAACTATGATCAGAATCAAAACTAAGATTCAGAAAGAACAAAGCGCACAAAATCAACCTAAAATATAAATTTTCCCGTCCTTATTTTTCAACGATGCTAAACAATTAACCTAAAATGTAAGTCAATAAATTCATCACAACTAAGATAATTTCAACCTGACCAAAATTCCAGAATAAAATGTTCAGAAATGCTAAAGTGAAATGAAAACAAGGAATTAGAGAAAGAAAAGGAGGTAATACAGTTGAAGTTCAGGAGAAGTGAGGATAGAGCGCTTGGAAGTTTCGATCTCCCAGCCATGAATACGCAACCCTCGGCGTCCGTCGGACAAGGCGGCGCCTCCGGCGGCTTTGATATCTGTCTCGTCGATCTCCACCTCCATTCCCGCCATTGGTGTTGCTTTTTTCTGTTTCCGGTGTAATTTGGGGAAGAACAATCAAGCTTACAAGTGTTTTTGGAATTTTGGTACTCCCTACAAAAGGAAAGGGAAAACCGGAAAATTCATTCAATTGTCAAAGAGGGTTTAACGCGAAAAATTGCCGCGATTGATCTCAATTTTGCCTCATCCATTAATATTACAATTTATAAAATAGGTGTCAGCATATAATTGGCTTACAAAAATATAATAACAAAAAAAAAACCAAAACCACCAAGGTCGGCTCCTTGCCACGGTGCCACCCACGGCTAACCCTGCCCAACCCCTTCCCCCGGAGCGCCGGCCGCTGCCAGACTCCTTCCCCTCCCCAAGTGTCGCGCTGCCCCGACCACCTTCCCTTTCCCCTTCGATCACCACGAAATCAAGCAAAATCCCCCAAATCCCAAACCCTAACCCTAACCTTCAATCTCCGGCAGCGAAAGGCTTGGGCGAAAAGAGAGAGAAAAGAAAAGGGGCAAAAGGCTAAGGCGGCAATGGGGGTAGGTGCGGCTAGATGTTTTCGACGGTCGGGGAGGTTTTTTAAGGGTTTTTAGAGGGGAAGGGGAGGGGTTACGGGAGGTTTTAAGGGGAAAAAGGTCGGGGCAACGCCGACACCGAGGGGGAAGGGGGTCTGGGCGGTGGCCGGTGCTCGAGGGGAAGGGGTTGGGCGGGGCTGGCAGCGGCTTGGCCATGGGTGGCACCGTGGCAGGGGGCTGGCCTTGGTGGTTTTGGGTTTTTGTTTTTTTTTTTTTTAATTTTTTTTTTTACCAATCACATGCTGATATATATGTGTATATTAAACTTTAAAAAAAAAAATATTACCTCCTCAACAGGTATTCGGTCACCTGAGAGTGTTATTAGCGGAAAGAGTATAAAGTTCGGATTAATAAAAAATAATTCAAAGTTGGGATTAATATTGGCGGATGAACCTAAAGTTTTTAGGAAAAAAAAAAATCATTTTTATAATATCAATTTTTTCCAATTTACTTTAATATTCCCAACTTTTGATTTCACCCTAATATTAATCTCAGCTTTAGGGTGAATTTTCTTTCTTCAATCCTAAAAATCGGCAATCTACTAAAAGTGTTAAAAAAAAATTTAAAAATATATATTTGTCACGTGTCAACACGTGATTAATCCAAAACGTAAAAGACAAAAAAAACTAAATAAAAAACCAAACCACCAGCCACCTACGTTGGTGGCTTCCCCCCTCACCGCCACGACCACGCCCTCCCTAGCCCTATAACGCTAGAAACAACCTCCTCCCTCCCCCAACCCGAAAGCCACCGGCCACCTCGACCACTCCCCGGCCCACCGTCAAGCCCCGCCCCCAATCCCGACCCCTTTCTTTCCCTCTCTCTCTCCACCACCCATATCTACCTCTTCTTTCCCCGCAGCACAACCTCCTACTAACGGCCCTCTCCCCAACGCTGAACACACCCCCCCTCCTAAAAACAATGCTAAAACCCACCCCCGAATTGTAGACCAACCCCTACCCTATCCTCTTTTTCTCTAGCGTCCCCTTTATCTCTCCTCCCTCCCTAATTGCCAACGAAATATGGAGGTGGGGAAGGTGGGGGACTGGGGGGTTGTTTCCGGCGGTTTGGGGCTGGGGAGGTGGTGGGCGGTGAGGGGGGGGGAAGCCACCAGCATAGGTGGCTAATGCTTTGAGTTTTTTTCTCTTTTTATTTGTTTTTTTAATTTATTTTTTTAATGGCTTTTTTTACCAATCACGTGTTGACACGTGTCCATATCACCTGTCATAACAGGTTGATGCCTTGCTGGGGTTAAAGAAGGAAAATACATATGAAAGTTGTTGTTATTCAAAGTAAATAGGCAAAGTTCGGATGATTAAATTGAATTTTTTTTCCAAGATTTTAAGGACGTCTAAATTTTACACAGTGCGAGGTAACGGTGATAGGTTGTTTATAATGTGAATCTTCTGATAACTTAGTCTTTTAAGCATTGGTTATTTATAATGTGATGTTCTATCAACAACTTGTTGGGCATGCATATTGGCCATCGAAAGCCTTAAGATTGGGTTTTAATCTCCGGATTCTCCACTAAGGGTGCTTCAAGGGTAAGGATTTTCTTACCTCTCTACTCTCAAAACACTACTAAGAATAGGCCTTTCGATGGACGTGTTCCGACAGACACGTTTTTTCATCGGAAAAATCGAAATTTTCGAGGGATTTTTATTCCGACGAAATCAAAGAATCCATCGGAAATCCGTCGACAATTTCCGACAAAATATAAATCCGTCGGAATAATAGTTTTTTCCGACGGATTATTCCGTCTGAGATTTAAATTTTCGTCGGAAATTAATAAAAGAAAAAAAAAAAAAAAAACAACCCTAACCTCTTACCTAAACCGACAACCTCCTTCCCCTTATTTCATTTTCTCTCTCTCTCTCTCTCCTTCTCCTACTTCTTTCTCTTTCTCTCTCCTCTTCTCTGCCTTTTCTCTCTCTTCTCTGCCCTATTTCTCCTTCTTCTTTCCCTTTCTCGGTCGTCTTCTCTTCTCCTCCCTCTTCTTTCCCCCTTTCTCTCTCTTCTCGATCTTCTTCCTGCTCCTCCCTCCTCTTTCTCCTCTTCTCTTTCTCCCTTTACCTTATATCTCTATCTCACCACCGCCGCCAACACTAACCATCGCAACAACAACAACGCCACCAACACTGACATCTACAACAATAACACCACCGTCATCACCAACACCCAACAACAACAACCAACAACAACAACAACGACCACAACACCACCGTCATCACCAACAACCAACAACAACAGCGACCACAACACCACCACCACCGCGCAAAAACAACAAAGGCGACCCCAACAACACCACCACCGTCGCGAGAATCGTCAACCGCATAAGTATTGTAGATCTTGTTTTAATTTAGGTTAGATTGTAAATCTAGTTTTATTTTTTAAAAAAATTCTGATTTTGGTTAATTTTTCAAGTAATTGTAATGTTAGTTTATTAATAGAAAAAAATTGGTGGGAATAATCCCACCTTTGGGGCGTTTTTTTTTTTAAATAATCTCACCTTTGGGATTTTTTTTAAATAATCACACCTTTACCCCCCCGATCTTTTTTAATGGTCCCAACCGGTCATGTAACCTGTTATAACAAGTTACATGACACGTGGCGGCCTGTGATTAGTCAAAAAAATAAAAATAAAAATAAAATTTGATTATATTTAGAAAAATTTTAAAGAAAAGTGTTTCCGACGGAAATCAAGTCGGAAATTACCTGTTTTCTAGTAGTGAAAGTGTATAACCCACTAATCTGGATTGGATTGACTATGAGAAGTGCGGAGAAATTCAAGTCAAAAAGAATATGAACTAATTAATATTAGATTTATATACATATTAAAATTAGGAGATTTTAGACAAAGATCAACATATTAGTACTTCCTAGTTCCTACATTATTCCTATTGTCAGCTGAAATTGGTCCTAAGGTTTATCTCCCTTTCTCTCCACTGTAATATAAGGTTGTTACAAACAAACTAATAAAGGATTCAAAGATATAGATCCGTTTTTAGATAGTAAATTTGCTTATTTTTTAATCCTTGATATTTTAGGTCACGGATTTGTAAGAAAACGTACCTAAACTCTTCCATGCATGTATCTTACTTTTTAAAAAAAATAAAAAAATAAAGGATTCATGTACTCTGATCCTTCCTCTCAATTTTCTCTTATCCAAACAAAAAAACTAATTAAATATTCATGTGTTTTTTATTATCTTTAAAACATGGATAACCAATATGTTAATCGTGCATATTATATTGGCAAAAGTAAGAGGAGGTTACACATTATTGGCATATGTAATCTATCCAATTTTCTTTCTCATAATCATCTCTACCAATTTTATTTATTAAAAATACATTGTTTAACTTCAAATTTACATCTCAAACCGTAATTTAGACTTAAACTTGTATAATGTACGCATGCGAAACAAGTTTAGTCATTCCATAAACATGTGAAAGTTGCGTATAAGCTTAGGCAATTTACTCGTACGTGCAAAAATGAATAAAAAGTCTTAACCTTCTGCTTTTTTCATTTGTCATTATATATATACGTACTAGCTTAGATATTGACTAGAAGACAAATTAATTATATTACTAGCTGAAGCCAATCTAGAATAAATAATTACTTAAGAGTACATAAATAAACAAAACTAAAAGCCAAATTCATCTATAGTTCATAAAATATATGAAAATTATAATGTTCAAAGCATTGATTCCATCATTACCCGGACCAAATACTAGTTTATTACTTAGAAAAATATGATTGATGTCCATTTTTCCAAGTCTCCAACACTAATACTCATATGCAATATTGAACCTTCAAATCCACAATTCCCCATCAATAATGAAAACTCAATAGGCTAAATACTAATTATGCAATATTGGACCATCTATATTAAAAGTAGTTAATGGTGTTTAACTGTTTATATGTGTAACGAGTTATTGGTTTGGGCGATGCCCCGAACCATTATAAAATTGCAATTTTGATAAAAATTCAATTTAAGTGGGTTAATATTAAACAATATTAATAAGTGACAGAAGATATAATAAGTATTTTCTTAAACATTTTGCATCAATTGTATAATACAAACCTTTATTATTTGGAAAAATTCACGGGAATAATCCCACCTTTAGGTCATTCGTTTTTAATAATCTCACCTTTCAGTTATTTTTTAATAATCCGACCTTTACCCCCCATTCTTTTTTATTGGTCCCGAGTGACCAGTAACCGGTTGAAGAGGTAAATTTTTTTTTTTAAGTTTATTTTACACGTGTCACAATTTGATTTGTCCAAAATAAAAAAAATTAACAAAAAAAAAAAGAAGTAAAATCAAATAAAAAAATCACCACCACCATTTCAGCCACCACCATCCCCACACACCACCCAAACTCAAACCTCGGAACCACCACCACATCCAGCCCTGAAACCACCGCCACTAAGAAACCACCGCACCGACTAAGAAACCACCACCCCAGCCAGCCCAACCCCAAAACCCCTTCGAAAAATCACAACCCACCAAACCAACCCCTTCGAAAAATCGCAACCCAGGCCACCAAACCAACCCCTTCGAAAAATTGCAACCTACCAAACAAACCCCTTCGAAAAATCGCAACCCACCAAACCGACTAGGAAACGGCATGAATCGAGATCGGGGGAGGACGGAGCGGTCGGAATGGGGGATAGGGAAGGCCGACCCAGCTGGAAAAGGGATGGGGGACGAGGAAAGGGCTGGGATCGGGATGGGAAAGTGGTTTACGAGGGAAGGGGGCTGGGATCGGTACGGGAAAGGGTTTTCAGGGGAGGGGTCGATTGCGACGCCGGCGTCGGAGCTGTTATAGGGG